ATTTTCTTCTCTAGTAAGTTAAATTTAATGCATAATTATTGTTGTTTGTAAGTCAGCATCTATAACTGTAAAATTTTATATTATAGAAACTTATAATAAAATAAACTACACTTCGTAAGATACATATTGTGACTTTTACAATAAATATTACCTATATTTAGACATGAATACATTATTTTACTTACATTAAAAGCTTTAAAAAGACATTGAATTGATTTCTTGTTGTGTTTTCTTTAGTTTTACATTTGATTTTTATCCTGTTTTACAATCTGAAACGACGTACATCTTGCTTTGATGCTTTTTGTCACTCATGTTAGGTACTTTTTTTCACAATATTTTGATTCTTTTTATCAATTTTATTAAAAAATCACTTTATTTTACATTGACTTACATAGAAAATTGACTGCGCTGTCATTAGACATGCCAACAGCAGTCAATTTCGCGAACTTTATAAAAAGGACAGAAATTTGAAATTTGACCATTGCCGATTCGCCTCCTTCTCTCTAATCTTCATAGACAGAACCTCAGATAAACAAATGAAATATAGTTAAGTAATGGGCTCAGAGTAAGTTATCTAGGGTAATGGGCGCCGTTTAACATAGGCTTTGTTTGAAGCCAGTATCTACGAACTTTTAACATATGTGATCTCCATGGGCGTATCAAAGATTTTCCAAACGATTGTTTTGTAAATATTTTGTCGAGGACAAATTTTAAGAAAAATGCAATTCATACAAAATTTTATTCAACAAAAAATGAATTCTATTTTTTATTCAAATGTAATAAACGATATTTATAAAAAAATTAGGTATCAAATTATTGTTTATAGCTATATACCAATGAACTGTATATTTAAAATGGAACAACATTCCCTATTGACAAAAGTACGCCAAATTGAATTCGCGCATTACGTGAGATTGCGCACAACGTGCCTTTGCAGTTCGTTTTATACATTTCATGTACTTATTTTAAAATCAGTAGAAATTAATATTTTTGAAACTCAACATCTTCTGTTATATACCTAAAGCTGGTCATTCTTACCACTTGAAGTGATAAATTTCAAATTTTTTAACATACACGGAATATCAAAAAATAGGAATTAGGGCAGAGCAGGGCCGCCGAGAGACAGGTGGGGCCCCGCGACACTTAAAAAAATAATTAAGCCCTTTCAATCTTACATTTATTTAAAAAAAATAAACTTCCTCATCTAAAGCTGCCGGGCCCCCACTTGTTCCCAGGCCCCGGGAATTTGTCCCGGCTACCCCATTCTCGTCGGGCCTGGGGCAAAGTTACACTTAATTATAAAAATGGAAAAAAATTATATGGAATCGGTTGAAGTCCGGAAGTTTTTTGTATAAAATGGGTCCTATACATTTAAGAGACCTTTTAGTTAAATGTAATTTACTATCTGGCATATGACTAGTTCCAAAATTATGAAATTTATATTTTACTTAAATTTAAGTTCTAAAACAAAATTCTAGAACATATAATGAAGCTAGTGGTAAAATACATTCTACAAAAATTGGTCGACAAGAATCATATTTAGGAACTTTACCTGTTATTCTTAGGATCTTCCTTTGAAGAATAAAAACGTCACTCGAATCAGTTGAGTTTTCACATAGACTAATTCCGTATCTCGATCGACATGCTACTTGTGCATAATAAATACAGATTAAAGTTTCATGTTCTAAAACTTCTCTTACATTTCTAAATAAGTAACACAATGAATTTAATTTATTTTTCCAAAATTCAAAATGTACTTGCTGATGAAGTATATATAAATTCAAATTAAAAACGATAACTATAAAACACAGGTACCTACTCTGAAGACGCCAAATACCAAAACCAAGCAAAGAAATTATAGAATAACGAATATCGTTAAAATCACACCCAAAACTGTAAAATTATGAGATTACATCAATAATGCGCCTGAGTACTCTAGATGTCGAAAGTACAGTGTTTTCATGACATTTTTGCTACATTTTCAGCAGCGTTAGAGGACTTTTTCTACCACTTGCACCTGGCCATAATGGCATTCCATTTTAAATGTATAGTTCACTGGTAAATACACAATAATAATTATTTTGTTATATGTGCATAGTAATGTAATGTGAGCCATTTCATTATTCAGTCATGCTCTAATACTCCAAGTCCCTCTCTGTATTATTTGGCCTTCGAGGCTCAACTTGTCCGCTTATTATACATAATTGAACCCCTTAAGACCAAACCTATGGGACGACTATGGTGGACGTGTTTTCGATGATGTTCGAGAAAGGACGAGATAATGTTTCTAGTGTATTGGAGAGAATATGTGAAAATTACTATAACGTTCTGGAGCCCCCACCATTTTTTTAAATTTGTATATAAATTGGCGGAAGAACTCGGTGCAATCAAGTTGATATATGGACAGTGAAGATAAATAGTAATTAGTAGATAGACAGTGGTGAATATAAATAGTGAGCGATTCAAAGACATTCGAAGTGTATATAAATTAAAATAGTATTGTTTAAAATAAATAAGTGTTTAAATAAATTATTAATAAATAAACTGTTGTTTGAAAATAAACAAACATCACAGTAATTTGTATGGGTTGGTGTAAAAATTGCCCATCTTACACTGGTAGGCGACGAAAAATGAAAATCGACTACAGTGCATCCCCACTTCAGACAATATAGATTGTGGTGACTTTACATGACAATTAAATGTGTTGTTTAATGTGCAAAAAACAGATAAATAATCTGTTCAAACAGAATCTTACTGTCACCAAGCTTGTTTACTAAGCTGATAAGAATTTGTATATATAAGACTCATTAAAGCATCATCCAAAAATGTATAAACATACAATTAACGCAAAGGATATAATAATTTAAAAACAATAGAATAATTAAATATAAAAATCCAATATAAAATAAATAAAAAAATATCAAAAGTGGTAATTATAAATCAAAAATGATAAAATCTCTATTTTCAAAGCAATATATGGAAATCCCATAGGAACTAAAGTTGTGCGTGGGCTACATATATTTAAATGACAACATATGTCACCAAATTGAATTAATGTTATTTTAATACTAGATACCTCAACTGCTTCTGATGCATTTTCACCTATGTAATTTTTGATCTCTTAAATAAATATATTAGAAGCGAATATTGACAGATATTCTAGAGTGAATTTTACTTCGCTGAATTAATCAGGGGCTTATTCTCTAATCGGCATTTTTGAAAGCACTCAGCGCGTCTCTCTAGAAATGCGACGAACAACTAACAAAAGTGTAAAGCACAAACGTTTTGGTATTCTCTACTTGCTATGCTGTTCTTATTAGAAAAAATCTGATGTGTCCAACACATGACTTTCCTATCTAGTTATTATAGGCTTTTTCCGGTTATTTTGTACAACCTATTGCAGCACCTCTATAAATGTTTAGAGGATAAACTAAATATATACATTTTCCACATACATCTACCTCGAAACATTTTTCTATATTCATTGAAAACGAAAATCCTGAAAAATTTTTTTTCCTCCAATTTTTCCATTACGGTCCATTTTTGAAAAATCATGTATTACCAAAAATTATAGCTATCGATATCGCAAACAACTTTTAGTTTAACAATTTTCTTAAAAATCAGAATTTTGAACATTTTGTTAAATTTCTCGAATACGGACCATTTCAGGAAAAATTTGTGATATAGCAAAAATTATAGATAATAATATTAGAAGTAACTTTTATTTGAACAATTTTTTTCTCCAAACATAAAATATAAAAACGGTCCCCCATAAAGTACCCCCCCCCCCAGATGTTCCGTCCTTGTCCAAAGTCTAATCATTTCACGTCAGGCCGAAATAAAACTTAAGTTTAAAATTTAATGTTTTTTCCTTTAACCGTTTTTGAGTTTTCTACAAAATTCGAAATTTACACATTTTCTCAAATATCTCGAATACGGTCCATTTTAGAAAAATTATGTATATGATAAAAATTATAGAGAATTACATTACAAACAACTTTTATTTGCAGAATTTTTATAAAAAATTATTTTTTTTACATTTTGTCAAATTTCTCGAACACGGACCATTTTAGGAAAATTTTGTATAGTACAAAAAATATTGATAATAATATTGTAAGTAACTTTTATTTAAAGAATTTTCTTCTCCAACCGTAAATAACAGATATATTCCATAAAATCCGTCGAAAACTGAAGGTCGAAAAAAGCATGATTCCTATAATTTCCTTATCTGTATACAGATAGGAAAATAAAAAGTAAGGCTATGGCGAGGGGTGGTTCACTCCAGGAAATACATGTACAAATTACAGAACATCTCACGGAAATCACGGAAATCCCGGAAATCAACCAAGAAATCGCGAAATCGTTTCGAAAAACAGGAAATCCATTCGGGAATCGCGGAAATACTTCTGGAATCTCAGAAATCGCTCGGAAATCCTTCTGGGAATCTCGGAAATCGCTCGGAAATCCCAGAAATCGATGATGATTTTTAACGAACCGGTTGTCTCTCATCACGTGTTTAGTGTTGTGGTGGTCATTGTAGAGTTTACGTTCGTGCTATTTGCGAAGCTATTTGTGTTTTTTGCTGTTTTTTTTACTAGATTTAAAGCAGGTAAGTAAGTAATTTTTTATTGAATATTATGGTTAGTTATTGTTCTTATAGTGCAGATAATAATATTGTTTAATTTTGGTAATATTCGTCGAGAAATTAGAGTATAACCTAACTTTATAATTACAAACGCGAGTACAAACAAAAATGCCGACTGATATCGTTCTGTTTGTGGACGCCCTTAAACATAAAATCTTTGAAATATTAAATCATTTATTATTTATTATTTATTGTACTACTCAGATTTTTAACTACAAGAGAATAGGGTGCCGATAAAATTTTGAAAATAAAGTTAATAGGTACCTATTAATTTTTGCGTATTTGAAAATGCACTTATTTTATTCAAATTTTGACAAGGAAATACCGGGAAATACTATGGAATATAGCATTTTTAATGATAGAAAAATGTCGATCACAACCAAATTTACTTCTACCATGGTTACGTACCAGCCAGCCTTGTGAACAATACTTTAGACAAACCCGTTCAATGACATCGACTTACTCAACCGTTGTTAATTTTGATATAATGGAGTTCATTCAAAGAAAAAATAGAATCCAAACTCTTAATAGTATAGTGAATGATGCAGGTAATTAAATTTTTATTAATAGTTAATTTGACAAACCCCACTTTCATAAAAAAAACCTCACATTTATGCAGTGTAATGGGGGATTATGAAAAAGGAATAATAACCGTCAGTTTGGAATATAATTACGTTCGTATTTCTCATAGCACTATCTTCTAACTTGGTTGTATTTGTAGTTAGGTATAGAATAGGGATGTTAGTAGATGTCTTCATTACTCATAATCCTTCTAGTTTTTTATTTATTTCAGGAAATGAATTTGTTTTTCCAAGAGAGAAAAGCGGAAAACTTGGGAGAAACCAGTCTACACAACATGGTGAATTACCTACTTGTGACCAAATAAAAAATATTTTGGAGAATGCAAAACATTCTGCGATTATTGACTCAAATATGATTCTCCCTGATGACATCCAGGAAGAAGTGTTAAGAACAGTGTCTATCCCTCGCATAGAAGATACCGAGCAAGATACTGAGGAAGATACTGAGTGGGATCATCATAACAAACCAACAGAAGAACAAATTACATCTTTAGAAGAAATTTCTGAAATTCCCGAAGAACAGGACGAATATTTTAATGATATTAGAGAAGAACTAACTTTGTTTTCTGATTTTGAGAGTTTAAATATTACAGATTACTCCGATAAATGCAAACTTGATGATAAAACACTTTTAAAAATATTAGTTAATGGAAAAGAGAAAATAGTTAAAAAATCTATATTGTGTTGGTTATTTTCAAAAGATTTACATAAAGGACATTTATCAAGTGATAGACTTCTCCGCTGTAAGTCCTTATCATCGGCTAAAATTCCAAAAACAAAAAAAAAACTTCGCAAAAAAAGAAATCAAGTTCATCCAGAAATTGATAAAGAAACTGATACCACCTCTGATGAGAAAGACACAGTCAAGTTAGAGAGTGAATTTGAGTGCGAAAGCATTCATTCTGGTACTGACTCAGATAATGATGTGAATAAAATTCTGGAAATCAATGAAGAAAGTTATTATGCCGTTTGTTATGAAAGTTGGTACATTGGAAGAGTTGTCAATAAAATTATTAAAAATCAGAGTAAAATCAAATTGCTCAAGTTTGAACTAAATAAATACATATGGCCAAAAGATGACGTCCAAGTGGTACAAAATGAGTATATTTTTTATGGGCCCATCCAGTTAATTGGAAACTATCCATTCCAGTTAAAAAGACACGATAAATTGAAGATTGAAAAAATTTTCAAACATGTCAAAAAAAGGAATATAATACCTATTTTAACGTATTTTAAAATACCTTTTATCTGTTATTCACGAATAAAAATAAAATTCACTACCAATTTAATCATTTCAGGTCTTTTTATTGAAATATTCTGAACGATCGATCTATACATATATACAATTTCTAGTCGTTATTTGATAAAGAAGTACTGTGACTCCTTTGTTAAAAAGGTGGACCAAAATCCACTCAAATCATTCATTCATTTTATTTATTATTCTAAATATATATATATATATATATATATATATTTAGAATAATAAATAAAATGAATGAATGATTTGAGTGGATTTTGGTCCACCTTTTTAACAAAGGAGTCACAGTACTTCTTTATCAAATAACGACTAGAAATTGTATATATGTATAGATCGATCGTTCAGAATATTTCAATAAAAAGACCTGAAATGATTAAATTGGTAGTGAATTTTATTTTTATTCGTGAATAACAGATAAAAGGTATTTTAAAATACGTTAAAATAGGTATTATATTCCTTTTTTTGACATGTTTGAAAATTTTTTCAATCTTCAATTTATCGTGTCTTTTTAACTGGAATGGATAGTTTCCAATTAACTGGATGGGCCCATAAAAAATATACTCATTTTGTACCACTTGGACGTCATCTTTTGGCCATATGTATTTATTTAGTTCAAACTTGAGCAATTTGATTTTACTCTGATTTTTAATAATTTTATTGACAACTCTTCCAATGTACCAACTTTCATAACAAACGGCATAATAACTTTCTTCATTGATTTCCAGAATTTTATTCACATCATTATCTGAGTCAGTACCAGAATGAATGCTTTCGCACTCAAATTCACTCTCTAACTTGACTGTGTCTTTCTCATCAGAGGTGGTATCAGTTTCTTTATCAATTTCTGGATGAACTTGATTTCTTTTTTTGCGAAGTTTTTTTTTTGTTTTTGGAATTTTAGCCGATGATAAGGACTTACAGCGGAGAAGTCTATCACTTGATAAATGTCCTTTATGTAAATCTTTTGAAAATAACCAACACAATATAGATTTTTTAACTATTTTCTCTTTTCCATTAACTAATATTTTTAAAAGTGTTTTATCATCAAGTTTGCATTTATCGGAGTAATCTGTAATATTTAAACTCTCAAAATCAGAAAACAAAGTTAGTTCTTCTCTAATATCATTAAAATATTCGTCCTGTTCTTCGGGAATTTCAGAAATTTCTTCTAAAGATGTAATTTGTTCTTCTGTTGGTTTGTTATGATGATCCCACTCAGTATCTTCCTCAGTATCTTGCTCGGTATCTTCTATGCGAGGGATAGACACTGTTCTTAACACTTCTTCCTGGATGTCATCAGGGAGAATCATATTTGAGTCAATAATCGCAGAATGTTTTGCATTCTCCAAAATATTTTTTATTTGGTCACAAGTAGGTAATTCACCATGTTGTGTAGACTGGTTTCTCCCAAGTTTTCCGCTTTTCTCTCTTGGAAAAACAAATTCATTTCCTGAAATAAATAAAAAACTAGAAGGATTATGAGTAATGAAGACATCTACTAACATCCCTATTCTATACCTAACTACAAATACAACCAAGTTAGAAGATAGTGCTATGAGAAATACGAACGTAATTATATTCCAAACTGACGGTTATTATTCCTTTTTCATAATCCCCCATTACACTGCATAAATGTGAGGTTTTTTTTATGAAAGTGGGGTTTGTCAAATTAACTATTAATAAAAATTTAATTACCTGCATCATTCACTATACTATTAAGAGTTTGGATTCTATTTTTTCTTTGAATGAACTCCATTATATCAAAATTAACAACGGTTGAGTAAGTCGATGTCATTGAACGGGTTTGTCTAAAGTATTGTTCACAAGGCTGGCTGGTACGTAACCATGGTAGAAGTAAATTTGGTTGTGATCGACATTTTTCTATCATTAAAAATGCTATATTCCATAGTATTTCCCGGTATTTCCTTGTCAAAATTTGAATAAAATAAGTGCATTTTCAAATACGCAAAAATTAATAGGTACCTATTAACTTTATTTTCAAAATTTTATCGGCACCCTATTCTCTTGTAGTTAAAAATCTGAGTAGTACAATAAATAATAAATAATAAATGATTTAATATTTCAAAGATTTTATGTTTAAGGGCGTCCACAAACAGAACGATATCAGTCGGCATTTTTGTTTGTACTCGCGTTTGTAATTATAAAGTTAGGTTATACTCTAATTTCTCGACGAATATTACCAAAATTAAACAATATTATTATCTGCACTATAAGAACAATAACTAACCATAATATTCAATAAAAAATTACTTACTTACCTGCTTTAAATCTAGTAAAAAAAACAGCAAAAAACACAAATAGCTTCGCAAATAGCACGAACGTAAACTCTACAATGACCACCACAACACTAAACACGTGATGAGAGACAACCGGTTCGTTAAAAATCATCATCGATTTCTGGGATTTCCGAGCGATTTCCGAGATTCCCAGAAGGATTTCCGAGCGATTTCTGAGATTCCAGAAGTATTTCCGCGATTCCCGAATGGATTTCCTGTTTTTCGAAACGATTTCGCGATTTCTTGGTTGATTTCCGGGATTTCCGTGATTTCCGTGAGATGTTCTGTAATTTGTACATGTATTTCCTGGAGTGAACCACCCCTCGCCATAGCCTTACTTTTTATTTTCCTATCTGTATACAGATAAGGAAATTATAGGAATCATGCTTTTTTCGACCTTCAGTTTTCGACGGATTTTATGGAATATATCTGTTATTTACGGTTGGAGAAGAAAATTCTTTAAATAAAAGTTACTTACAATATTATTATCAATATTTTTTGTACTATACAAAATTTTCCTAAAATGGTCCGTGTTCGAGAAATTTGACAAAATGTAAAAAAAATAATTTTTTATAAAAATTCTGCAAATAAAAGTTGTTTGTAATGTAATTCTCTATAATTTTTATCATATACATAATTTTTCTAAAATGGACCGTATTCGAGATATTTGAGAAAATGTGTAAATTTCGAATTTTGTAGAAAACTCAAAAACGGTTAAAGGAAAAAACATTAAATTTTAAACTTAAGTTTTATTTCGGCCTGACGTGAAATGATTAGACTTTGGACAAGGACGGAACATCTGGGGGGGGGGGGGTACTTTATGGGGGACCGTTTTTATATTTTATGTTTGGAGAAAAAAATTGTTCAAATAAAAGTTACTTCTAATATTATTATCTATAATTTTTGCTATATCACAAATTTTTCCTGAAATGGTCCGTATTCGAGAAATTTAACAAAATGTTCAAAATTCTGATTTTTAAGAAAATTGTTAAACTAAAAGTTGTTTGCGATATCGATAGCTATAATTTTTGGTAATACATGATTTTTCAAAAATGGACCGTAATGGAAAAATTGGAGGAAAAAAAATTTTTCAGGATTTTCGTTTTCAATGAATATAGAAAAATGTTTCGAGGTAGATGTATGTGGAAAATGTATATATTTAGTTTATCCTCTAAACATTTATAGAGGTGCTGCAATAGGTTGTACAAAATAACCGGAAAAAGCCTATAATAACTAGATAGGAAAGTCATGTGTTGGACACATCAGATTTTTTCTAATAAGAACAGCATAGCAAGTAGAGAATACCAAAACGTTTGTGCTTTACACTTTTGTTAGTTGTTCGTCGCATTTCTAGAGAGACGCGCTGAGTGCTTTCAAAAATGCCGATTAGAGAATAAGCCCCTGATTAATTCAGCGAAGTAAAATTCACTCTAGAATATCTGTCAATATTCGCTTCTAATATATTTATTTAAGAGATCAAAAATTACATAGGTGAAAATGCATCAGAAGCAGTTGAGGTATCTAGTATTAAAATAACATTAATTCAATTTGGTGACATATGTTGTCATTTAAATATATGTAGCCCACGCACAACTTTAGTTCCTATGGGATTTCCATATATTGCTTTGAAAATAGAGATTTTATCATTTTTGATTTATAATTACCACTTTTGATATTTTTTTATTTATTTTATATTGGATTTTTATATTTAATTATTCTATTGTTTTTAAATTATTATATCCTTTGCGTTAATTGTATGTTTATACATTTTTGGATGATGCTTTAATGAGTCTTATATATACAAATTCTTATCAGCTTAGTAAACAAGCTTGGTGACAGTAAGATTCTGTTTGAACAGATTATTTATCTGTTTTTTGCACATTAAACAACACATTTAATTGTCATGTAAAGTCACCACAATCTATATTGTCTGAAGTGGGGATGCACTGTAGTCGATTTTCATTTTTCGTCGCCTACCAGTGTAAGATGGGCAATTTTTACACCAACCCATACAAATTACTGTGATGTTTGTTTATTTTCAAACAACAGTTTATTTATTAATAATTTATTTAAACACTTATTTATTTTAAACAATACTATTTTAATTTATATACACTTCGAATGTCTTTGAATCGCTCACTATTTATATTCACCACTGTCTATCTACTAATTACTATTTATCTTCACTGTCCATATATCAACTTGATTGCACCGAGTTCTTCCGCCAATTTATATACAAATTTAAAAAAATGGTGGGGGCTCCAGAACGTTATAGTAATTTTCACATATTCTCTCCAATACACTAGAAACATTATCTCGTCCTTTCTCGAACATCATCGAAAACACGTCCACCATAGTCGTCCCATAGGTTTGGTCTTAAGGGGTTCAATTATGTATAATAAGCGGACAAGTTGAGCCTCGAAGGCCAAATAATACAGAGAGGGACTTGGAGTATTAGAGCATGACTGAATAATGAAATGGCTCACATTACATTACTATGCACATATAACAAAATAATTATTATTGTGTATTTACCAGTGAACTATACATTTAAAATGGAATGCCATTATGGCCAGGTGCAAGTGGTAGAAAAAGTCCTCTAACGCTGCTGAAAATGTAGCAAAAATGTCATGAAAACACTGTACTTTCGACATCTAGAGTACTCAGGCGCATTATTGATGTAATATATATATATATATGTATGTCAAAGGGCAGTTTTGAGGACATTTTGCAACCCCTATATACAAACGTATACATTTGTATACA